AAATCTTAATATTTTTCCGAAATATTTTGGTGGACGTCTTAAAATATAATAGATTTTATAATTCCAATGGAAAAATAGCACCGATTTGTTTTTGTATGGGGACTGATGCAGTCTAATATACATATATGTATTGTATGTTTTTTACGTTTTTATACATACATACTGTAAAAGTGTTGGGGCTGTTAACTTATCTCTTAACGATCTATCTATAGTTTAAAATTGATAAGTGTATGGCCCTTAATATGCTTAATTTGTTAAATGGCCCATCAAGTCGATTGACCGTGTACTTATGTTCTTGTGGTGTGATTGTACCAGCTGCTGGTGCGACTTCAAAACCTACTTGAAAATTTTATGATTGTACCAGCATGCTGGTGTCGTGAGTGGTGAAATTAGCTCAATATTCTAAGTAAAAAGTGTGTTGACGAAAATTGCTTGCACTATATGAGTCAAAGCCGTGTTTGTGGAAGATTAAGTTCTCGATATTGCAGTTGTGAATTAAAAAAAAAAAAAAACAATGTTTGACAAAATGGTAGAAAAATTATGAAATTTCGGCTCTAATCATTTCGATCTTTCCTCGACCTCATTTCTAAAGAAATAAATATTGTACCAGCAAGCTGGTGTCGTATATTTCCCCTTTTATACAAAAAGGTTTTTGGTTGGATAAAATATTTGTTTTTTCCAGAGTTCATTGTTTACCATTACTTATTGATATTGTTTGCGTGTATACTTATATATGTATATGTAAGTAAAAAATTTTAGCTGCCATTTTTAGCCACAATGACTTTTTTAGCTCTTTTTTAGGCCTTTTTTTAAAGGAATTTGGCTACCACTAAAAATAATTCGCGGCAACACTGGTAGAGATAAAGAAAAACGAGACCAACCCCGATACAGAATAAGAGCCTTAGAATCAAGCCAAAAACGAGATATGACAATTAATAAGAAGGAAGACACAGACAACATTGCGGCCGCATGCATTACTTGTTTATAAAAATAAAACTTTCAGTACGGACAAAACTACCACATCAGGTGGTATGGATATTTCTTTAGTGATTAAGTTTTTAAGTATTTATGTACATCAATGTTTGAATGTGGGTATTTCCATACGTCGCATACGTGACAGCCGTACGTTTCAATGTGATACAAAAAAGGAATACCATTTGTTTTCTTTAACTTTTTTGGTCCATTGTATACAACATAATTAGCTCTATATTTAACCGAAAAATGAAAACAATCGAACTGCTTGGTCCTGAAATAAATGCTTATATATATTGAGAGTGTCGTTACGTGACAAAAAATGGAAGTTGATTTTTTCTTTTCTTACAAAATCGCAAAATTCTGCGAATTGTGGATGGCTATTTTCATGAAACTTATTTTAATATGATTTGGAGCAATTCTAGTTGTTTTTAGAGTTTTTTGAATTAATGCAACTTGCTTCAATTTTCTTTTACAAAGCCAAGTATGAGACGTCACGTGACGTGGCGTCACGTGACATAAATTTCCATCGTTATATTTTTGTTAATATTGCTTTTAAATGAATTTTTAACGCAAATAAAACATGTATTTTATGTCGAATATATACTTGATATACATACGCCAAATTCGAACCAAATCGGACCATAAATACGGAAATATCTCGACCTTGGCGCCACCTAGGAAGACCATTTTACTCAAACATGATTCTACTTACATAGCCAGTATATATTTTAAAAAGCAGAGAAATCGGTCTGTAAATACGTTAGTTATAAGACTTTTATTTTTTTTGTCGTGGTGGACCTTCCGATGGAAACACCCATATCTAAATAATGTATGTTGGTTTGTCATTTAATTAAATTTGTTGTTGTATATGTACACATATTCATTTGTTTTTCGATTAATACTTAATGTGTGTGATTTTTTTGTGTTCTTGTATATTTGTCTTAACAGAGAAAATAAACAATACCCCTGAAGATGCTAGAAAAGCTTTAGCGAAACGTCGGGTAAAAAGTGGAATAATGTAATTTTATTTGCACCAAAGCATAAAGAACAGACTAGCCTATAAATATAAAATTAAACAAATATATTCTTTAAAATAAAATGTTGGTCTGACGTTTCTTGTTTCCATATAGATAGTACAGAATTACAGGAATTAAAATTTTGGAATAAAATTAAACACAGGGAGTCCCTGCGGTATTCCAGAAAAAAAATTTTTTAAACAAAATTCCAAAAAATGCTAAATTTTAACGAAAGGAATAAAAAATATATGTAAAAATAGGTTATTTTTTATTATTCTATTAAATAGTACGGGATTTTAGCTTTCAAAAGAGGAAATAAAAACCTGCTCATTTTTTGCACTTTCTGAAGTAATGCGTTTTTCGCTAATGCATAAAATAATTTTTTCATTTTTTGTCAGTGCCTTGAGATCTGCACGATTCGTTCCATTTTCAAAAATGAAGTGTCATATTAAAAAACTTGACCTGTGGACAATAGAAGGTTTATTTTTTTCTTTTAAAGAGTTGCCACCTGTTAAAAAATTAGATTGTTATAAAATTAGATTCCAATTTTTTTATAAGTTAAATTAATTATTAAGAGATGGGTATCAATCGAAATGTGTATTAACTACATGCAGCGAGTTGCCTCCTGTTTAAAAAAGGAACCTTGCCACCTTGAACTAAAGGAATTAGGTAATTGAAATAGATAGGTATCACCATAAGGGAGTCAGATGAAAGAGGTTTGAGCTTAAAAATATTACAAATAGGGTTGCACCTGCTTGTAAAGTCGAATTTAGTTAAACTAAAATAATAATTACGTCAAACCATAGTATTACGTCGTCGTATATGTTATTTTATTACAAATACATATATTGTCAATCAGCGGTTTGTTCTGATTACATTCCTTTAAATTACTGGACTCTTAAATTAACTCAGGAATGTTTTTACTCTTCACTTATTTATTTCTAAATATGTCAAATTTTTCAATTTTTCAGATACTCATATTAATAATAACAATAGATTGGCGCTTACACATATGTTAGTGTTTGGCCGAGCGTCTCCTCCGATTTGTGGCGTGCGCCTAGATGTTGTAACACAAAGCGGAGGGACCTACAGTTTTACGCCGACTCCGAACGGCGATTGTATTTTTATGATAAGCTGTATTTCATGTATTTCTAGATTTACTAGATATGAATAAATAAATAAATAAATAAACATGTGGAAACCCTTCTACGTGTCGTTTAGAAGTAAAGTATTTTCAAAACTAGTACAATTGATACCCATATTGTAATATCCAATTCATTTGACTTATTAAATATATCTATATCTAATCTAAAATTACACATTCGCAACATCCCTAGTACAAACCTATGTAAAAGCCACAAGAACCCAAATTTTCAACTTCAAACTGCATTTACAGTGAAAGTATGAAAGTGTCCCCAATTTTACTAATAAGCGAATTTTCAGTTAAATCCGTCCATAATTCTATTTTTGCCCACATTTTATATGTAAGGGAAGCACTGTGCGTCAGAGAAAAAAATTAAGAACGCAATTTTACTATATTTGGGCCTTGTTTTCGCGAATATATTGATTGTTTTTTGTGCAAAATTGCCTGTCGCAAGGTGTTATATGTATATTGAGCTACACAGTTATTATAAAATAAATATTAAATATTAAATAAACAAAGAAAATATAGCCAAAACTGGTTAATATAAGGCGTTTACATTATTGCCAAAACTCTAAATAACAAATCCCAGGATTCTAGACAAATAATCCCGGGATTTTCGGGACTAAAAAAACCAGGATCCCGGGATTAACATTCCTAACACTTACACTATACACTATATACATACTCAGACGTGAACTATCAATTACATGCGTAATAAATTTTTGTATGAAATTAATATTTTTAAATACGAACATTTTTAAACGATGATCAAATNGAATTTTATATCTGTAGAAATATCGTTTATAAAAAGCAAGAACAGAATCGGGCCTAGGTGGCTACCCTGAGGGACTCCTGAAGTAACATCAATGACGTCAGAGATAGTATTTTTAAACAATACCCTTTGTGATCTATCATAGAGGTATGAAGAGATCCAACGTAGAAAATTAGGTGGAAGACCAAGAAGATCAAGTTTATAGATGAGCAACGAGTGGCACACTTTGTCAAATGCTTTACTGAAATCAGTAAAATGCTTTACTGAAATCAGTACAATGCTTTACTGAAATCAGTAAATAAGTATTCATTTTTACTATGCATTATTTCCCTCAGTGTAACTGCCGCAAGAAGTACTACGTTTACTTAGGAAGCTTGTAAGAAAATTCAAAATACGAACCCATTCAGAGTGTAGTAAGGAGGTTATAGGAAGTGAGGGATGGGTCTAATTAATTTTTTGTAGTCATTTTAGGTTTGAACGGTCCAAGAAAGATACGAATACACACCCATCTTAATTTTGCATGAAATATTAAATTTCAATTCCCAGGTGTGGTTGTAAGAGGGTGGTAGCGTGAAAATGGTCCGTTGAAGTTAGTTTTTTGGTCATATTCGTTTTCAGCGATCCTGAAAACCTAGTAATAGTGGGTTATACCATGTGGTTCACAACATTTTTTGTTTTTGTGTTCCTGTGTAATTAATATACAACTGCTTTCGGATTTTCCACCTTAACGTGTCAAAGACCTCTTTTCTAGAGTTTGGTATGTTCACGAAAGTTAAGGCCTGAGACATTCTGAACAATTTGCCAAAGAAATTTTGCCAAAAAACCAACAAGATAAAAGATAGAAACCATAAAATAGGGTATAACACCTGAAAAATTTCCATTGGAGGCAAAATTTCCAAAAAAAAGTTATATGAAGCCATGCAGAAAACTTAAAAAACTAATGATGCAGTTCGATTCCCCATACCCGAAATAGGGTGAAACCGTCTTCTCCGGCCATATCTTTTTTTGAGGCTATAACAGTGTAATAATACATGCAATAATAAAGACATTAGCTAGTCACGAATCCAAAAGCGAAAGAGAAAATATTGCTTACCATGGAACGTTGCCGACGGGCTGGCCCGCTGGAGTGAGTATAAATGCTCCATGTAGCTGGGAATTCTGTAAGCGGGATGGAAATCATGTGGCTGGGTTGGTGGTGGCGGCACAACTCCATGGGTGTGGTGATGAGCGTGGTGGGAGTGATGATGTGTGGCGGCGGCGGCAGCGGCGGCGGCCGCACTTGCAACGTCCAGTGACATTTGCATGTTGCTGCTTTCGCTGCCGTTGCACTCATTCGTACCGCCATTTGTGGCAACATTACTGTCACTCGCAAGACTACTACCATGAACGGCTGACGGATTGAGGGAGTTTCCAACACTGGTGGGTAATGGAGGCGGTGGCGGTAACACAGTGGCTGCAGCGGCTACAGCAGCTGCTCGTCTTGAAGCGAGAAATTGCAGATCCGAATATGTACTAATAGAAAATATAAAAAATATAAATTAGAATTAGATTTATTTATATTTTTATGAAAAAATACATGATTTTCTGCATTTCTTAAAAAGTTTTTTCTACCTGATTATATTTGTCCTATAGGTACGGTGACCAGATTTCTGTGCACAAAAATCGGGACATTTCTAAAGCATCGAATCCGAACATACAATTTTGTTTTTAGAACAAAAAGACATACCATCTTTTAATACAGTTTTATTTAAGACAAAATAAATAGAAATCTGTATATGGGGCGTTCCATACCAAATCGGACGGGGTTCACAATTCATGTGTTTGATTTGTTTCAAATTTTTAGGGTTGACGCATTAACACAAATAATAAATAAATGGGAAATTTGAGCTTGATTAATACATTAGTAAAAACTTTACAGCACAAAAACAAAAACAAATCCATTTAATATTTTTCCAAATTTCTCGAGAACGGGGCGAGGCAATAATTTGAAAAAAATCACACATACACACGTAAAAATTCTCCATGAAAAAAAATATTTTTAAGATTTTTTTCTTGAGAAATTTTTCACATACATATTTTTTGAGAAAAAAAATTGANCATTGCTTGACAGTATTTGGTAATTCATTATAACTTTTAAGACCCTTGTAATAAAGATTACATTTATCAGATTCGCTTTTTAACATGGGTAAATTGAAGTCATTTTTCTTACGTGTATCTTTATTGTGTACATTGCTGCCATACTTTAAGTTAATCTTTAGGTATTCTGGTAAATTATCTTCAATAATGTTTTTAACAAATTTCATCGTATAATAAAAGTGCTGTTGTTTCACACTTAGCCAACCAAGTGCTGATAACTTGTCTCTAATGGGCGTGTCATATCGTTTTCGAAGAATGAATCTCATTGCTTGTTTCTGTTGCTTCTGCAATTTATAAATTTGGCTATCATTCATTATGAAGAAAATTTTTGGACAATAATTGAGGAGACGTTTTATTATTGATCCATATACCATTATTTTATATTTCCTTTTCAGTAATTTGCAAGTACGCCGCATAAAGTACATTTTTTTT